TCAGAGGCAGCGTGAAGACGAAGGCTCAGAGCAGAAAAGTAGTAGGTACTTAGAGGGGGGAAAATTTCATTTAAGATGTTCCCCTCCTCCACAACAAAGAAGGCTGCCACAGAGGCACACAAAGAGGAGCCTCAGATAAAGAGACCCACGAATTCAGGCAACTAGAGCAAGGAACGCAAACATGTATGACCAGCCCAGGGAGCCCGAGTCCTTGACTGTAACTCGACTTAGACACTGTAATGTATTGGCTGTACAACAAGTCTGGTTGAGGAGAGCAGCTTTCTGGAATGAGACCTTCTAGATAAAACCTTTGTAATTTCCTGTGTCCAGGCCTGGAAAGTCACACATAGATTTTTAGCCAGGAGCTGGACTCCTCATTATGTTAATAGATGCATTCATTATCCCTTTCAATATTCACAAAAGCCCAATGTGATTAGCTATGCTTCACTGATGAAGAAACTGGGGATTACATTTTGTTAAGCAATTCACCTGAATTTACAAAAATATTTGATATAGGAGCCAGAGATAAACTGATTCAAAAACCCATACTCAAAAACATTTTAAAAAAAGAAAGAAAACTCATATTTATATTCTTATCTGTGCCCTCTTAAGTGAAGCGTTATTTCTAAAATCAGGTAGATAAAAAATGACTGGCAAATGATTGGCTACTTGTAAATCTTTTGCATAACAAGTTCAAAAATGTTACACATGGATGGGGGGATGGGTAAAATAAATAAAGAGGATTAAGTTATAACTTAAGCTATACATAAATAAGTCATGGAGATGAAAAGTACAGCATAGGGAATTTAGTCAATAATACTACAATATGGAGACAGATGGTGACTATATTTACTGAGAGCAATGAGTAATATAGAACTGTTGAATCAATATGTAGTACACCTGAAATGAATATAGCACTGCATGTTAATTATACTTCAATTTTAAAAAATGCTATAGCCTACATATACCTATACCTTCAGCATGAGTAATCTCTCTTCTTGGAAATTTCATTTAGCAAGTTTGTAAGTTTGTTCCAGTCTTGTAATACTAGAAATATCATGACTTCCACTTTGCTAGGATAAAATATAGTTACAGCATGGTGTGCCACAGCAAGCTGTCCTGTTTAGTGGTCATAGTACCTTAACTTTTGGTTGTTATAGTTGATAAAACCTGGCATAAAAACAGTGGGCTTTTACCAGGGAAGCTAGCAAAGCTGTATATTTACTATTGACTTTTTTAAAGTTTACTTTAATTTGAATGTATTTTTAATGTCATTTCCCTTACAAAAAATTGTAAGAAAATAAGAGCTGAAAATAGTGATAATTTACTATAATCCAAAAGTTAAAAATTCTAAATGATAGATCTGAATGAATTTATTCATTGCGTCCATTTGTTCCCTTAATTATGATTTATTGGGCATCCACAACATGAGAAACATATTAGGACATGCAATACTTCAGGAAAACAGAGCACATGCCCATAGGTTTTCATGTAGGATGAGTACGAAGAGAGTTTAACAAAATATAAAAAAGGGAAATACAATTTATACATGGGAGCATGATGAAAAGTTTCTTGGAAGAAATTGATAGAGGCTTGAACAGTACACAATGAGGTAACCTCTTCTAATGCTCAAGAAAAACAAAATACTCTAAAGAGAGTAGGAGGTACTATTTAGGAAAGCCTACCCTCTTAAGAGGAGTGGGCAATGGGGCTACATAGAAGAGAACCTTCCACTTCTGGTTACAACAATATGATTTTAGATGAGGGTCAGTTGGGCACTAGGGAACCATTCTTAGGTCATGAAGAGGTAAGAGCCAAACTTAGTGCTAGGCTCTTCAGAGGATAGTCTGACAGTTATAGGCAGATTTGATTACAGAGGAGTGATATTGAAGACATCAAGAAACTACTTTTATAAGAAAGATAAAAATAGTCTAAATTGCCTTGGATAGGGTAAGAATAAAATGAAGCAATTAAGAAAAACAAGAGAAAGAGGAACGACAACTGATGTAGTTTAATGAGTGGGAAATAGAATAAAGATAAATCTTTGATGTCAAATGTGAGTAAATAAAGGTAAGCAAATATCTGGGTCATTAAGAGAAAGCAGGGAATTTAAGAAAAGGCATTCTAAGCATTAGGATAATAATCAGAGATTCTAAAGACATAGTATATATGAGAAATTCTAAGTGCTTTATATATATTGTCTTGATCTTCACAATAAAATACAGGATATAAACTATTATTATTTTGATTTTAACAATGAGGAGACTGGGTCAGAGTAAGTTTCAGTAATTTACCCATTGTCACAAAGCTATAAACAGGTATTAATTCAGACTGCCAGACAAGATCCTAAATTCTAAATTTTGTATTACTGTTCTGCCTGAAATAATTTAGTACTTATTCTGTAGGAGCACCATTTTAAATACTTTATACATACTAACTCATTTTATCTTCAAATAGTCTTATGAGGAAAATATGCTCATTATCCTGATATTAGTATATGGTAGAACTGAAAAAACGGCTTCCTGTCTGCAGAGACTGCACTCTTAACCACCTACTAAATCTGCCTTTGAAACCATCAGTTTTAGACTCACTGAATTTGAAGTATAAGTTCAACATTTAAGTGCAAATACCAAGTTGGAAATGAGACACGGAATCTGAGGAGAAATTTCACCTGGACACAGAATGAAAAAGTTTTAACTTAGAGGGATGGTACCTAAAACCATAGGAAGGGTTATGCTAACAGAGCAGACAAACACAGAAAAGAAAATACTTTTTTTTTTTTTTTAAGATTTTATTTATTTATTTGAGAGAGAGAGAGAGCACAGAGGAAGACTAAGAGGGAGAACCAGGTTTCCTGCTGAGCAGGGAACCTAATGCTGGGACTTCTCCCAGGACCTGCGATCATGACCAGAGGCGAAGGCAGACACTTACTGATTGAGCCACCCAGGCGCCCCGAGAAAATACTTTCTTATACAACTAACAACACATATTACACAAAACTTACAAGAAGAAACAGTCTGCTCCCATATGTTAAGGAGAATTAGGTGTGTTTGTCTACCAAAAGGTTGCCAGTGCCTAATTAAACAATAACATTTTTAATTTAGTAGCCAGCTACAGCAATCAGAAAGATATATTAAATAGAACTAATGAACAGAAGTTCACAAATGCAAAATAAATCAAATATTTTCCTAGCATCTTCATTGCATCATAGTTCTAATGGTCCTTTAGGGGGCATATCAGACAATCAAATTGTAGGGAGCAGGGGATTTAATAACCTATGCCTTTTTTTTTTTTTAATTTCTTATCTGGGGACTCTAGGAAAAAAAAGAGTTTGTTTTCACAACTCTCATAACCTTAAATTCTATGTTAGGGAGAATCCAATACTGTCTCTAAAGTCATTAAACAGTAACTTGATAATATATTTGAGGATTCAGCAATATTAATCTTAGAAACAATGTTTTAAATTATTTTTCAACTCAGTTATTTTTGTAATTTTTTAAAAATATTGAACCTGATATTCAAGATTTGTAACTGCCTAGGAAACAAGTACAGAAGGCATAATTGACAAAAGGAATCAAAGGGATTTGTGTGTGAAATATAGACATCTTACAAATAGCAATAGCACACAGAGGGCAGTCATTTCATTTTTCACAAGTTTTCAATTAAGTAAAAATTAAAATTTTAGTGAGCTATGGTCATTTCACTCATTATGATGAACAGAGATGCATTTTATTTATTGAGATAAAAAAATGTAGCCATTAGAACTCGTTTTATTGCATTATTTGCCACTTCAACCATTTTTTTAAAAAAGATTTCATTTATTTAATTGACAGAAAGAAAGAGGAAGAGACAGAATGGGAACATAAGCAGGGGGAGTGGAGAAGGGGAAGCAGGTTTCCCGCTGGACAGGGAGCCTGATGCAGCAGGGCTCTATCCCAGGACCCTGGGATCATGACGCGAGCCAAAGGCAGAAGCTTAAGGACTGAGCCACCCAGGTGTCCCAGCCACTTCAACCATTTTTATGAGTTATACTAATTTTGATTTTTTTTAATAGCATCTATACCTATATTTTTTTTTCTTCATAGAGATAGGTATATGGTAATAAAACAGGGGCAAAATTTTTTTGAAAATAAGAACTCAGCCATGATATCACCTGTTAATTAATAGCTGATATTATAAATAAATATAAAAACTGATATTTATTTAGACTTTCAATTAATTATGTCTAATAGAGTGGTAGCTGCCACTGTACCTACACAAAATTATTGGAAGAGAAAGGAGAAAAAGACCATTTCCCAAAGTTCCTCCATCCTTGTCTCAGAATGTACAGATTCCCCATTAAGAGAGATGTCTCTCTTTGACTCCTAAAAATGTTTAAGTTTAAAATTAATACTTCAAAATGTTGTCTGTTTTGGGGTGCCTGGTTGGCTCAATTGTTAAGCATTTACTTTCCACTCAGGTCATGATCCCAGGGTCCTGGAATAGAGCCCAGTGTCCGGCTCCCTGCTTGGTGGAAAGCCTGCTTCTCCCTCTCATGCTCCCCCTGCTTGTGCTCCCTCTCTTGCTGTTTCTCTGTCCAATAAATAAAATCTTTTAAAAAAAAATGTAGTCTGTTTTACTCACTGCAACTTACCAAAAAATGTCTGCTACATTGCCAGTGCTCAAGAAATGTTAACAGAATGGATAAATACAATCATGTCGTGCTTTATTTTATAGAATGCTTCTCTAGTAATGTAATTCAGAAGTGAAAATTGCAATAATTGAGTTAAAGTACAATGGACCTATGTTACCAATTTGCCTAGGATCTGCCAACAAGAATCAGCCAATTCAAATAAAAGTGCTCATCAGATTAATTAAATTGATTAATCGCTTGTTATTTTTAAAAAATTCTGACTCAACTAGCCTGCTTCCCTTCTCTCCCCTTTTCCTTCTTCCCTTCCTCTGTTCCTACCTTCCTTCCTTAGTATAAGTAAAAGAATTATAATTTGGGGATGGCAGCACCTCACCAGAAGCCGCCCCCGCAGCAAGCGAGCGAGCGCCGAGGCATGGGGAAAATGGCAGACAGTTTTTCACTTAATGATGCTTTATCTGGGTCTGGAAACCCAAACCCTCAAGGATGGCCTGGTCAATGGGGAAACCAGCCTGCTGGAGCAGGGGGTTACCCAGGGGCTTCCTATCTTGGTGCCTACCCTGGACAGGCCCCTCCTGGCAGTTATCCTGGACAGGCCCCTTCTGGTGGCTACCCTGGACAGGCCCCTCCTGGCGGCTATCCTGGACAGGCACCAGGAGCTGCTTATCCTGGACCACCTGCACCAGGACCCCACCCTGGGCAACCGAGTGGGCCTGGGGCCTACCCGCCTCCTGGACAGCCAAGTGCTCCTGGAGCCCAGCCCGCTGCTGGCGCCTTTGGCATCTGCGCTGGACCACTGACTGTACCTTATGACCTGCCCTTGCCTGGAGGAGTCATGCCTCGCATGCTGATAACAATTCTGGGCACAACAAAGCCCAATGCAAACAGATTTGCTTTAGATTTCAAGAGAGGGAATGATGTTGCTTTCCACTTTAACCCACACTTCAATGAGGACAACAAGAGAGTCATTGTTTGCAATACAAAGCTGGATAACATCTGGGGAAAGGAAGAAAGACAGGCAACTTTCCCATTAGAAAGTGGTAAACCATTCAAAATACAAGTGCTGGTTGAATCTGACCACTTCAAGGCTGCGGTCAAGGATGCTCACTTGTTGCAGTACAATCATCGGATGAAAAATCTCCAGGAAATCAGCAAACTGGGAATTTCTGGTGACATAGAGCTCACCAGTGCTTCACACGTTATGATATAATCTTAAAGGGGAAGATTTAAAAAAAAATGAAATTGAATATAAACGCTTACACATTGAAACTTCATGTTTCCTGATTGAAAAATTTCACTTTTATTCATCACTGTCCTTCTTGTAAATCTTCGATTTAATAAACATTCTAAGAGTTAAAAAAAAAGAATTATAATTTATATTCAAATCCCTATATTTGCTTATAAAACTAAACGTTAAAAAAGTTACCACAACATGAATCTTAAAATTTCCTTCAGTAATAAACAGAATTAAATTCTTTAGCTAAGGATAAGGTGACAAATATGGCCTTTATTCCTAAGAGCAGGAATAGTTACCAAAAAATTCCATAATGTCCCTCAATGGTGGTGATTTAAAAATGAAGAACACTTTTTTTTTTTTTTTTTCCATTTCAAATAGTCAAGGGCACAGAAATGGAAGGGAAGGGCTGGGCCCACCATATACAACAAAAGGAAGGGTAGGCAATATATGGATGTTTAAAACAACAGATTTCTCTATTCAGACATGCTGCCCCAGTTTATGTGAGAGTTGAAAAATCTGAGAGTTGAAAACTGCTATAATTTGAAGTCATACTATGGTGCATGTAATATGTTAAAAAAAAAGTCTTCGATGATCATAGAATGTCTTGTAAATTGATCATTAAAAATAAGCCACCACCACGGCTAAAATAAAACATGGAGAAATAAATATTTAATAATTATAAGACTTAATTATTTTTCTTCTGCTAAAACTGAATTCACAAAAGTAAAATTTCTCCATGTCCGTTGCATAGAGGAGACAGAAAGAAGCCAATCCCAAGACATAGGCAATTGCTACATATGTTTTCCAGAACACGTAGTAGGAGAGAAAACTACCTTGTAATTTAACATTGTCTAAATTCCTGAGCTAATGAATTTGCAATACCAGTAAATATTGTTATAGAAACATATTTGAGAAACATTATCCATAAAATATGAATGTAAAGTAATTCAAAGAGTGAAAGAAAGAAACTAATATCCACTGATCATCCATCATGTAACAAGGGTATAATTTAAACTTCACTGACAACGAATAATTTAGAATTCTTAAATTCCTAATGTAGATGAAGAAAGTAATTCATTCACCCAACAAATATTTAATGAGTTCCTACTACATGTCAAGTGCTATTTAAAGTTGAGAATGTAGCAACTAAAGTTCCTTTCCTGATAGAGCTTATATTTTTGTGAGGATTGATAGACATTGAGTATATAAACAAATATATGTATTATATGTCAGCTGATGATGTGTTATAGTGAAGAACTAAGAATGATTAAGAGAGACTGGGGGCGCCTGGGTGGTTCAGTGGGTTAAAGCCTCTGCCTGCTGCTCAGGTCATGATCTCAGGGTCCTGGGATCCAGCCCCGCATCAGGCTCTCTGCTCAGTGGGGAGCCTGCTTCCTCCTCTCTCTCTCTGGCTGCCTCTCTGCCTACTTGTGATCTCTGTCTGTCAAATAAATAAACAAAATCTGTAAAAAAAAAAAAAAAAGAGAGAGAGAGACTGAAGATATCAGAGATTGGTGGGGGGGGCGGTATTAACTTATGTAAATGGGCAGAGACTCCAGAAAGATTGCCATGTGAGAATTTGGGAAGCAAGCCAAACCTGTACATGAAGAACCAGACATGTATGATACTTCTTTAATGGAGTTTTTCTGATATTTTCTCATGATTACACTGGGGTTATGGGTTTAGGGAGAAAGATTATAGAGGTAACCACTTTCATTACATCATTCCAAAAGTGTATATTAGTATGGCTTCTGAGTATTGATATCAACCTGATCATCTGCCTGAAATATGTTTGTCAGGTCTCTTCACTGTAAATTTTCTCTTTTCCTTCCCTTTCCATACTGTAGTCACTGGAGGGAAGTCCTATACATGAACCCACACTTAATAAGTGAGAAGGTATGCTCCTTTCACTTATGGCTGAATACAAAATTTGTTTAGAATTCTTCTGCATGGGAGATTTGTCTCTTCTTACCATTTATTAATTTATTCAGTCATTTATATCAATATAGATCTATAGACACTTATTTTTAATACTGTAGATTATAATCCAAGCTATTAATTTGGTTGCACAAACTGTTCCAGTTTTGACAGAAGTACTTTCAGTTGGTTCTTATGCCTCTTTCACATATCTGGATCAGTAATTTATTTTTTATTTATTTTTTAATTTTTAAAAGATTGTTTATTCAACAGAGAGGAAGAGAGGAGAGAGAGAGTGAGTGAGTACAAAAGCAGGGGTAGCAGTAGAGGGAGAGTGAGAAGCAGGCTCTCCGCCAAGCAGGGAGCCCTAGTTGGGGCTTGATCTCAGAACCCTGGGATTACGACCTGAGCCAAAGGCAGACGCTTTACCATCTGAACCACCCAGATGCCCCAGTGATTTATTTTCTTAAATACTACTTTCTTGTTGTAAAACATGTTTCAAGGCCATCTCGTATCTTGTCTGCTGCAGTCCTGAAATCATTTCTCCAAAGGTCTCTGGTTCCTTTTACTGAAGAATGGTATTCATTCAGGGTGCTCTCTGTACTTTTGCTACTGAGATATAGTGTCTTTAAGGTCCTTTCAGCTGACAGAGCCAAAAAAAAAAAATTATATATATATGTGTGTGTGTGTGTGTACACTAACCTGTATATGTACATATATGTATAAATATTTTTATATGCAGTGCTCTGCATCTGTATTATGAGTTCTTACCAATGTCTCCAAATGTAATCCATTATAATTCATGTAATCTACAGATCATTCTAGCCTCCTTCCCTTTCTAATCTGATCTGCCAATTTCCACTCTTAACAATGAGAAACCCATCCCCCACCATTCACCATCCTTTTACTTAATCACTCAATTATAGTAGACATGTGTAGCCATGTCAAATTGTTAATCAATAACCCTATAAGCTTTCTATGATTTTAATTAGATATATATAGACTCTGTAGATCAAGTTGGGAATATCTGATACTTGAACAGTATTTAGTCTTTCATGTACTTACATGGAGTATCTCTCCATTTAGATTTTCTTTGATTTCCCTCCTCAAAGTTGTATAGTTTCTCAAATATAGATACATATATATTTTCTTGGATGTATACCTATGTACTTCATTTTGAGGTGCTATTTTAAGTGACAGTTTTTTTTTTAATTTCAAATTTCAGTTATTCATTTCTCTCTATAGAAAAGCAATTGACACTGTATATTAAGGTTATATTCTGCAACCTAGCTATATTCTAGGAGTTTCCTACATAGATAATTATAATTAATTTCTTCTTACTAATGTTTTTACTTTCTTTCTTCAGTAGCCAAGACTTCCCGTACAATATTGATCAGGAGTAGTAAGAGGGAAAATCTTTGTCTTGTTCCTACTTAGAGTAAATGAGTCAAATTTTTAACCATTAAATATGGTGTTAGCCACATGAAAAAGTGCTCACCATAACTCAGCATCAGGGAAATACAGATCAAACATAGTGAGATACTACCTCATACCAGTCAGAATGGCTAAAATTAATAAGTCATTAATAAGTCAGGAAACAACAGATGTTGGCGAGGATGCAGAGAAAGGGGAACCCTCCCACACTGTTGGTGGGAATGTAAGCTGATGCAGCCACTCTGGAAAAGTATGGAAATACCTCAAAAAGTTGAAAATAGAGCTACCCTATGACCCAGCAATCACACTACTGGGTATTTACCCTAAAGATACAAATGAGTGATCCAAAGGGGCACATGCCTCTGAATGTTTATAGCAGCAATGTCCACAACAGCTGAACTATGGAAGGAACCTAGATGTCCATCAACAGATGAATGGATAAAGAAGAGGTGGCATATATACATACACAAATATATACAATGGAATACTATGCAGCCATCAAAAGAAATGAAATCTTGCTATTTGCAATGATGAGGATGAAGCTAGAGAGTATTACAGTAAGTGAAATAAGTCAATTAGAGATAGACAATTATCATACAATCTTGCTGATATAAGGAATTTGAGAGACCAGCCTGGGGATCATAACAGGTAGGGAGGGAAAAAATGAAACAGGGATCAGGATGGAGACAAACCATAGCAGACTCTTAATCTCATGAAACAAACTGAGGATTGCTAGGGGGTGAGGGGAGAGGGATAGGGTGGCTGGGCTATGGACATTGGGGAGGGTATGTGCTATGGTGAGTGCTGCGAATTGTGTAAGCCTGATGATTCACAGACCTGTACTCCTGGGGCAAATAATACATTATATGTTAATTTAAAAAATGGTGTTAGCTATAATTTAAATTTAGGCATTTGTCAATTCTTTTTTGTTTCTTCTTTTGTTTTTCTCAGCTTTATTGAGGTATAAGTGACAAGATTATAAAATATTTGAAGTGTACATGGCAGTGATTTGATACACATATATATTGTGGAAAGGTTTGCCATCTGATCAACACATCCATCACCTCATATATTTGTCCATTTTTTTGGTGAGAAAATTTAATTTCTACTCTTAGCAAATTTCAATTATACAATACAATGCTATCAGCTATAGTCACTTTGGTTTACATTAGATCTTTAGATCTTATTCATCTTTTTTTTCTTTTTTAAATTTTTTTATTTTACTTATCTGACAGTGAGAGAGATCACAAGTAGGCAGAGAGGCAGGCAGAGAGAGAGGGGGAAGCAGGCTCCCTGCTAAGCAGAGAGCCTGATGCAGGGCTCAATCCCAGGACCCCGAGATCATGACCTGAGCTGAAGGCAGAGGCTTAACCCACTGAGCCACCCAGGTGCCCTGATCTTATTCATCTTATAGCTGAAAATTTGTACCCTTTTACCAATCTCCCCATATTTCACACCTGTATGAGTCACTTAAATTTTCAACCTTAAACCATTGTATTAAAAAAATCAAAAAAACAATGAATACTGTTACACTGAAAAGAAATTTTTAAAAAAGTTCTTATGTTCATAGAAAATAAATACAAATATTGAAATAAAGCTGTGCTATAAAATGTGTAAATAGAAAAAAAATTAAACAAAAAAAAGAGAAAGAAAAGCATCATTTTAAATAATATAAGGTTGAAGTAG